AGTAACACAGGCGCCCAACTGACCAAGTGAGAGTTATGTTAAGAAAAAAAATACTTCAGAGGACAGTATCATTTCACTCGTAGGTCAGTGAATGAAGATAATGTGTATTTTGAGAAGATGGATGGAGGGTGCATCAAGTTGACATGTTAAGAAAATGGGTTGATGTTGAAAAATTGAGGTTATGCAAAGCATTGGTTGATCTTTTGTAGCTGCCATAGAGTTTTCTATCCCGGTGTCTCCATGTATATTTCGCCTTATATTTTCTCTCTTTCGTTCTTCATGTTCTTCATCTAGATCAAGTGTATGAGTTGTATGATCCTAACAAAATGACCGTCTTCTGTTAGTGATTGAGGAAATTCTACGAGGTTTTCATGATTTATTATTATTATTATATACTATTTGGATCTTCATTTGACTTTTGTTTCCATAATCTCTTTCAAAAATGTTGTTTCCATCAAATGTACTTTTTATTCCGAACAACAAAAAGAATTGGAAAGCATATGCTTAAGGTTTTTTAGTAAAGAGAAACACTCCCCGCAAGTTGTTTTTTTCTAATTCAATTACTTGTTTCGAAGTATTTCGATTCAAGGTCAAAACTAACCTCTAGTATCAGAGCTAGGATGCTGGAATAAATTCCCATCACCACTAAGAGTTAACGAAGGAGATGTACCAATAATAAAAAGTGAAAGAAGAGTAAAAACGCTACAGTATCGTTACTCATGAAGAGACTACCCAACATAGTCGATAAAGCTGTGTTAATTTATAGGCACAAGGCATGCGAGACACTATTGAGTATGGTAACAACGTTGAGGAGTGTAATGACAATATGACTCTTGGTGCCATTTACCAAGCAAACTTGGAGGACGTTATTCTTATGTTGGTAGAGAACTCGGCAAAGGCAGTGTGGGAGACGTTACAAACAATGCAAATAAGTGTGGAAAAAGTCAAGGAAGCAAATGTCTACCTTGAAGAGTTAGTTCAAGCTATCCGCATGAAGGACAGTGAGTTGCTGGACGACTTTGCCATGAAATTGACGACGATCATCACTGACATCCGTTCGTTAGACGACAAGGTAGAGGAGATCTCTGTCGTCAAGGAGTTCCTTCAAGTCGTCCCCCAAAGTTCATGCAAATCATTACCTCCATCGAGCAATTTGATGACCTTAAGAACATGTCACTTAAGGAGGTCATTGGTTATCCTAAGGCCCGTGAGGAGAGACTTCGTGCTTATAACGGCAGAGAGGAAGAGAAACACCTCGCACTCACACACGATGAGTGACTTGCATGAAAAGAAAAAAAAAGAAGAAAGAAAGATGTAGCTAATTCTTTCTTTTGAGGTACGAAAGGACGTGATAGCCACAATAAAGAAAGCAAAGGTAGTAGGCGTGGGCACAAATGTGGTGGCAGAGGAGGCTGTGACAACACCTCACAAACCCTTGGAAGGACAAGTACATGATCAAGTGTTATTCATATGAAAAATAGGGGCATTGTGCAGTAGAATTTTGCAACAAGAAAGCAATGAGGAGACAAACCTCACATTCATGCATGAGCAAGAGCTCGCATTGATGTTGGACGAGAAGACATCCAATCTGTTCATGCTCTACTAATGCGACCAACATGTAGTACCTAAACAACGGTGCAAGCAACTACATGATCGGAGATTGAACAAAGTTCAAGGAGCATGATGAGAAGCTCATTGGGAATGTGAAGTTTGATTACGGATCAATATGTATCTCTACATGATTTCTGGGTATTACAAGTCCGAAAAATGTGACCTCATTCTAATTCCAACATTGACGAACTTAAGGGGCACATTGAAAGATGATTGCTATCAAATTTTATTCTACATATGGCTACTACGTACCCATGTAGTCCTAATTTGCCGCAACGACCTAAATTAGAAACTGCAGTGTCTCCCTGGTTATCATCAGTCCTAAGGGGGCCTATCTTTACGAGGAGTTGTGCATAAGGTCGGACTCCGTCCATCAACATTGGATATGAGTGCTCTTCATGTGCATGTGGCCATGATGTAGCATAATAATTCTAGCATGCTTAAACCTAATAAAAGAAAGAATTGAATGTGAGTTACACTTTGGAACTAGTTCAATAAAAAAAGCCTAATTTGGAGGCGGTCTCCCGAAATTCAGAGTCCACCAAATCCCTATAGCCCTTACTCAATCTTCTTCGTCTACCTCCGAATTCGTTGGTTGCAGACTCGCCATCGCCGCCAAATTAGCCGAATCCTCTGAACCAACGATGTCGTACGATGACGTGGAGATAGAAGACATGGAGTGGAACGAGGAGCTGCAGGCCTTCACGTACCCATGCCCCTGCGGCGACTTGTTCCAGATCACGAAGGAGGATCTTAAGCTCGGCGAAGAGATTGCTCGGTGCCCTAGCTGCTCTCTTTACATCACTGTCATCTACAACATGGAAGATTTTCTCGGAGACTCTGTTCAGAAGAATAACACAGGACTTGAGCCTTATAAACAACGGCCTGCCGTTGTGGCTTAGGAATACAGGTTATTTACCGATCAACTTGTTTATTGTCGCCGGAATATTCAGACGAAGTTATTCTCCATTTTTCCCTTTCTTTTTAGATGCTTTTGGTGGTTCCTTTTAGGCTACCTTGTTCATACGTCCATGTTTTGATGTGCCTATTTTCTAATTCGCTGTGTGAGTGGTAGGATAGTCGACTCGAGCCTGGAATTTCTTTGCGTTTTAGAATTTAGGTGGTGAAGTTTTTGAATGGAGAAGGCTTCCCTTTTGGGATTGGAAAATTTCCAATTGGTGTCTCCTCCTCTCTTTGGTAAATCATTCAGAGAAAAGTGTCTGAGAATGAATACTTTTTTCTTGAAGCATTATGCAATTGTGTTTGTTTGTGTTCATCAAGTATTTAGGATTTACCATGTAAGGACATCTTTTTGGTCTTTGTTGATACACTATATCTAAAGCCTCGTGTTTCTTCTCTCAAGTTAAATTCTCTATGAAGACGGTTGCTCTGATTGAACTAATCCTCAATCAATAATATATCGAATTCTCGAACCTTGGGTGTTTAGTTTGTGATCAATTGTGAATGGAGAAGACTTTCATTTTGGGATTGAGAAAAGAGAATATGTTGCTTTACCACACCCCCTAGGAGGATAATTTCAATTGGTTAGTTATTTGGCTTAGTGCAGTAGACATGACCGTATAGGCCATAGTTTTAGCATGTGACTCTTTATCATTACAGTTCCCAATTATTTAGAGAATGATGATGATGAAGCGGACAACCTGCAACTATGTTCTTTGTTCTTTACCTTATCAATCTCTTGAAGTTATAATTATATCATATAGGAAAGTAAAGCCCTGTCAGTTTCTCTAAACTCCTTTTTAATAATTTGAATCTCTGGATTGTTTAGCTCAACACTTCTTTTTACTTATCAAATGGTGCAATATAGAAAAAATTATTGTTGATTCTTTTCTGTAATAAAATCAAATGTTCAGAGATGAATTTTTGATAAAGCACATGTTTCTGAGAGTATTATGCAATCGTGTTGGTTTGTGTTCATTATAAAACTATGTTCTCTACGTTAGCTTTATATGGTTGCTCCTTTTTTCAGAGTGTCGGTGATGAATCATGGTGTCGTCACGACAGCTGCACTTGCTGCAGATGAAATTTTGTCAGCCAAATTCTGAGGTTTTCGTTGCATTAAAGTTTATTCCTTTTCTTTTATTTTTTTTATCAGAATTATCCATAAAATAGAGGAAGGTAGAGTTGTATGCGGAAAAGTTCATCAAAGTACTATTTTTGTTCCTTATACATGGATCCTTGATCTGTTCACATGATAATTGTATTGAGTTGGGATTTCTTTGGTCGAACATGTCTCCATGGTCTGAGAATGGAGAAGTTTCAGACATAAGATAGATAAAAACCCTAATTATATATTTAATCTTTTGATTGAAAGGGTTATGACTTGTTGCTTTTTCTGTTCTCATTTGTCTCTCTTAGCTCTTCTGGTTTCTGTTCTCATTTGTTTATTGCCCTGTTTCCATATTATATTATATGATGGATTGATCAAAGTGTGTGAACTGATCAAAACAATCAACTTACTTAAGGGGACAGTGGCAGAGGCACTGAAAACCCCTTCTTATAAATGCCAGATTAGCTTGGTTTCTTGGAAGTTCGGTTGAATTAGATGTTGAAAGCAATTCAAGGTGTGTTATTATCTTCCTATTTAGAATTGTTTATCTTCGGACTTTAGGGATATGCTTTCTTCTAACTACCATGGGTTGATCTAATGATCAATAAAAATCAGGTAAATAACAAAGCATTAAGAGGTACAATTCATGGTGGTCAATACTCATTATTTTTTGTTACTTCTTTAATCTTTCCGCTGATAAAACGTATGAATTATTAGGGAGATTTTGCAAGAGAATCTTGATATTTAGATTGTGTAAATAGTGCTGACACTTCTATGTAATAGGAGCGTTAATATTTTTGTTTACGTCCTTAAATGTTTAATATGAATAAGGCTGCCTCCTCCTTCCCAGTTTCTTCCTTTATGTCTCAGCCAACAAACTGCGGAGGACCTTGTGGCTCAGGTAAATCTCTCGCCTTCTTCCGCTTCAAACCATCTTCTAATTCAAACATTTAATCCTAACAATATTCTGAAGCTTTCTTCTCTGAAGTTCTAAATGGCGACTCATTCACAATCCTTCTCACCCTTTTCTTTAATTTCTATCCACAACAATCTCAAATCCCATCTCCAAATTTATTGTCTTGTTGTGAAATGAACAGTGCAGCTGAGTCTTTTGAGTGTTTTTACATGATGAAGGAAAAGGGAAATGCACCCAAGATTGAAACCTGCAATGATTTGCTGAGTTTGTTTCTGATGATCAATAGAATTGGGGTAGCTTGGGTTTTGTTTGCTGAGATGTTTAGGCTGAGGATAAAATCTGGTTATGCAAGGAGGAGAAGTTGAAGAAGGCCAAGGATTTTATTGGGCATATGTAGAGCTTAGGGGTTAAACCCAATGTTTTTACGTATAATACGATAGTACATGGATATTTTTTGAGGGAGAGTTGAAGGGGACAATGCTATTTTTAGAACCTTGAATAGAAACCCGTCAATGGTGCTCTCTGCTGTAACTCAAAGAAGAAACCATCTTGAGATCCCACTTTAGTTGGGAGGAAAATGAAACATTTTTTATAAGGGTGCGAAAATCTCTCTCTAGCAGACGCTCTTTAAAAATCTTGAGGGGAAACTTGAAAGGGAAAGCCCAAAGAGTATAATATCTGCTAGCGGGTGAACCCAGGCTGTTACACTATCAATCTCTTTTCCCCTTTGTTTGCAAAGTTAGGGATCATGGACCTATACAATTAAGCCAACATGTCATGAAGTTTACATTCCATCTTTATTCATGCCAATTGGAGCTTCTTTCCATGCTCGTCTTTGCTCAACCGAGAAGGACTGTCTACCAGATTCATCTTTTCCTTTATCATTGATACGATTACAATAGATAAAGGAAGGGGCAAGAGATAAGATTATCAAAACCTTTATGTTAAATTCGAAATGGGTATTTAAAGGTAGGTCAAGAAAAGTTCAAAAGCTTTATTATTAGCGATTCCTTCGCAGTTTTTTCAGTTAGTCGGAAACAAAAGTTTCCCCCACTTGGCATTTGCTTTTGATTTCTCTTTTTTCTTTCATTGTGCGCTTATGGCCAATAACCACTCTCTGAAGGCAGCACTAAATCTTCACCTTTTACGTCCATTAGCTTTCGGTAATGTCTAGAACCACAATACCTTGAATTGCTAGCTTTCACTATCCCCATTTTCATTGGCTTGGCTGTATTAAACTCTGTGCTGAATGAGTCTATTTATGTTTTCTTTTTAAATTTTTAGGACGTTTTAAATCTTTACCATCAAGATCACTCAATATTATCTTTATAGTTTTTCTCGCAGTTAGTGTGGTCCATCTCAAGATATCCACATAATCATGTCTAAACTTTAAAAAAGATTACAAAAACTTTTACACTCTGAATCATTTACTCATTTTGGAATCATAACATAATTCGATTGCATCTCAACTTAGAATAGAGTGTTTGTGCTTCCTAGATCTTCACCTTATTATTACTTTTGTACATTCTACATTGGAATCTGCAATGATTTTAGGATTAACAATTTCAAAATCTTGTATTGGTTCATTTTCTTCTTTTTGCATCTAGTTTTTGAACTAACCCATCAGTCTTCCAATCAGAAAACCAATTTTTTAAAGCTCCTTTATCAACTTTTGACAATAACTTTCATAGTGGAAACACATGCATTATGCACCAAATACTTGACTAGACAACCATCATGTATTTTTAGGTCGTTCTACAAGCCAAATGAGAGGATATAAAAAATTGCATTGGCTTATAGATCGATTTGATAAGCTAGAGTTTGTTAATATAGGCTTCAATGGGGCAATTTGTACCTCATGTGGCATCTGGTTTTGTATTCACTTTTCTTGGCCTTTGGCACACTGTGAATACAATCAAAACCCATAATCTCAAAGGCTCTTCAAGCTTCAAGGTAAGATTTTGGTACCCTCTCGATCGCCCGCTTTCCAAACTCAAGTATTTGGAGCTCGTTTTCATGTTCTCTTTTTCAGTAATTGCAATTTTCAGACAATTTTGGGAGTACCCTTTTGTTCATTTGTCTTTCAAAGTCATCAACTTGGAGCATGCAACCATGTTCCTCCACCTTGCCATATTTTCGGGTTTCGCCCTCTACAACGAGTTGAATCAGTCATCAAACTTGTTGTCTGGGGTGGAGGGCATCTTTGCAGCCTGTGTCTTCAGTCAAGAACTCTTCTTGCTTCATTTCCACTCGGCTGACCACAAAGGCATTGAAGGCCATTACCATTGGCTCTTGCAGCTCATAGTGTTTGCGTCTCTCGTGTCGGTGCTCGTAGTTGCTTGTTGTCCTACCAACTTCCCTGCAGCTCTTGTTGTTTCACTGTTGGTTGTTCTGCAAGGGTGTTGGTTCATGAACATGGGGTTCATGCTATGGGTTCCAAGCCTGGTTCCTAAGGGCTGCAGCATGAGAATCATTGAAGACAAAATGCTGGGAGCAGTCATTTGTGCAACCAAGGAAGCTGATATGAGGGCTCGAGCACTTGCCAACCTGCAATTCAGTTGGATACTTGCAGGGATTCTTATATTTACTGGATTTATAAGCCTCAAATATACTAAATCTGAAAATTGCAGCTTGAAGATCCAGTTATCGGATTACGAGCAGCTTTGAGTGGCGCAAAAGATTTCAATATGCATTGACACAGCTACCAGCAGCTGGTGAATCAACCGGTCTAAAGATTGTGATTGTGCTGTTTGTTAAAACCATCGATCAGAATGTATACGTATAGAACTTATGTACATTTTGTAGACTGAAACTTGCTAGAGAATGCAACTTTCTTGATGAACTTAGTTTCTTTTTAGTTTTTACTTCTCTTTCTTTCTTTCTTTTTTTAAATATGTTTCTCGAGTTCTTGGGTATATTTTAGGAACTTTTCTATTCTACCACACCATGGAATTCCTTTCCTAAAAGTCTCTAATAAGACCCAACTTAAAGTTACTAAGCTTCGTTCCTATTTTATCCTAATGCTATCGTTGTGGTTGTGGTTGGGCTCTAATCTATGGAAAGAGTATCAAAATTTTAAATTTTATTTAAAATAATTTAAAATTCCAAAAGGGGTTTGAGTAGTAGAGTAAGTTAAGTTTGAGTTTAATTATATTTAAAAAAATTATAATTAAGTTAATTGAAGATCAATCAAATTGTAATAACCAAAATTCCGATGCCAGTAAGAGAATACACTTTTTGACGGTTTCAAACTAGCATTTTGACTTAATCGACTTGGATCCTTTCTTACTAGTTTCAACTATTTAGAAGCGTTTTAAAGTTAGTAGGACTACCTTTTAATTTGTTTAAATTATTTGGAATCAAGTTGAATTATTTTATACAAAATTAGGTGGGACTCCTTTAGGTAGAATTAAATTTCAGAGAGTAGCGTTAAGCTAGTATCAAGGGGTCGTAGTAACTTTGGCCTAGGGGTCCTAATGCACTATAATGGTATGAATGAAATGTTATGTTATGTTACGATAAGTTATGCAATGTTACGATAAGTTATATAATGTATGAGATATCATGATGCACTCTACTATATTATGTTAGACCATGATTTGCTATGACATGCTATGAAATGTTTTGAAATATGGAAAAGCTATTAAGCACCACTCCTCTTGTCATGATTTGAAAGTTATGTTTTGATTGAAATGATTTATGAATATTTATGTCGAGTGTGATATGTGGTGAAAGAATGGGGGTTGTCCGGCATGATTCATTATGCCACGATGAAAATATGGAGACCTCATGCATATTTGTATGTACACATGCATCGAGATACTTCCCATTTATGGTGAGTACAAATGCGTACACTGTGAGACATGAATGACCATCATGCTTAGCATGGTGCAACGACCGTCGCTTTCCCTCCAGGTGCCTGGCTACAGCCCAAAAGGAGCTATCCCGACCAACAGACCGAGGGGGTGTGCGAGCTCGCCTGGTGGGCCCATGCTCGTACGTGTGGGTCGTGTGTAGAGAAGCACTACACATCCAATTTGCCTGAGTTGGAAAGTCGCCTAAAAGAAGACGATTTTAAATAATACGTCTCATCATGCTGCATGTGTTTGCATTTTTCGACCTCAATAATGAGATCACTTATTGAGCATTTTATAAATACTCAAGCCTTGTGTTACTCTTATATTTCAGGTAAAGGCAAAACACCCCTATACGGTAGACGACAGCATTGCATTGAAGACTATGGAACCTGTGTTAGGGTAGTTGCATTTTAATTTTGTAAATCTTAGGTTAGATTAGGGTATCGTTTTAATCTTTTCATTAGATACTTTTCGTTGTTTTGTTTTAAGGTTCTAAGGCAAGGCACCCTCAATTCTTATTAATATGTTCATCAAAATTTAACTTGAAGCCATATATCACAAGGTATAGAGCTAATATTTAAAAACATGAGGCACGTTTGGTTGGATAGCAATAGAGTTGAAAAAGAATTCCGTTTAGATTAAAGAACACTTTTGATCTTTAAACTTTCGATGATAAAAAGTTATTTTGAACTATAGTTTACCACGATTTAATTTATATACTCCCAAATAAAGTTTAATACCACAATTTAATTCATGAACTTTGATAGGGAGGAAAGATAAGTACAATGGCATTGTTTTGCATTGTTTTGGAAAGAGAGTGGCAAAATGAATATAGTGAATTGTTTAAAGTGAGAGAATCAAATAACTTACAAATGGTGAGAAGTGAAGAACATCATCATAATCACTCAGACTCCTCCACGAAAGCCTCAACCCGGAGAAGAACAAACCCCACAGCCACTCCAACAAGAACAAGCCCATTGATGATGGCGGCAATCCTGAAAATCTCACCGGCGGCATTACAAGTGGAAGCCAGAGCCCCACCGCCGCTTCTGCCCTTTCCCTTTCCCTTCAATGGGCGTTTCAGGGATCCCACAATGTTTGCAAATGACTGATCAGCACAAACGGGAACGCCCAACGAGAAGATTTTGTTGTGAGCTTTCAACCCACCAAAGGAGTTAAGACCAGAAATGTAATGGACAGTGGTGTTCCTCTGCCGCCTCGAGGGGGCGCCGAGCGGGGCGGCGGTGGACATGGCAGGGTAGAGGGTAGCGGAGGCGGTGGCCATTGAAGCCTGAAAGAGAATCAAGAGGAGAGATTTGAGGGATGTGAAAATGGGGTGAGATTGAAGATGAAGATTGCTTGTATTTTGTATGTATGGAGAAAGGTGAATGGGGAAATGGATAAGGTGAAAGGAGTATGGGTGGTTCATAAACATCACAATTTTGCCAAAGATTTGTGATATCTTTCAATGTTGGCCAAGGACAAATGTGATTCAAATATCTAAATTTATCTCAATATATATCATTGAGGTAACATAATTACAATAATGTAATGGTTCAAAGAAAAAAAAAAAAAAAAAAAACACAATCGCCGAAACAACGCGAGATTTGAGTGCAACTCATGTTTCATTGAACAAAAACTTCATCAATAAATTGTGGAGTTCGAGTTAGTCTAGGAATGTTACAAACTTTAATGTTGGCTAATTGAACAATAATGAATCAAGATCAATGAATAAATAAACAAACGGGAGAATGAATCAAGATCAATCATTAATATAAACAAGATCAAGATCTCCAAGACGTTGATATAAACAAATGGAATAATGAATAAATCATTTTCAATATCAACCATGAGCGGGAGGAGGAAGGATGATCATGAATTACAATGGATCAAGATACCAAAGATTGTCCATCACCTGCTGTACCACTAACTCTATACAAACCCTAAAACTAAGATTATATACAGTTCAAAGAAACAAGGACGTGCAGAACCATTTTTATTCACAAAAGAATTTTCAGCAATCCACAAAACTCCTGCTCGTGTTCATCACTTAAATACTACTTACCAACATCAAAACTGAGGGAACCTGAATGCTACTTTAGGTAAAATCTTGCGATCCTGAGCTGGGGATTGGGGGAGGAATATGCAAGCACTACCTGGATTACAGGTTCCAGAGTACTCTGCTCGCTCACTTAACTGCTTGTGAGATGTCCGACTTACCGTGAACCTCCAGAACTAAACTCTGCAGCTCGGGGAAAATTGATACGAGTAATAGTTCGAGTAGTCCATACCCAAGTTGCTTCACACAGATGGTAGACTGCAGATTTACAAAATTCTACTCAAGTTGTTCATTTGTACAGAGATCGAATATGACTAAAACATAAATTTAGAATAATGATAACCCACCTGAGTGAAGTAATAAATATCTTTTGCGCATCTTTTGTACTGCTTGTGCCCTATCAAGCTTACCAAGGGTGTTGGAGCCCCACCTAAAAAGAATGTAATGATAGTCTATTATAAATTGGTCTCCTTCATAGGGGAAATTAGAACATTACAAGATTGTAAACTCATAAATATGATATAATGACTTTCAATGAAAAAAAAGTACCAAAATGTTGCTGTCTTATTTATTTGTAAATCAAAGCAGGCTGATCAAATAAAGTTAACTGGACGACTTCACTAACAAAACCAATGTTGAATAATACTCTCTTTTAACAACACAAAATATACGCAGTCACAAACATTACTCACCTAAAAGCATTTTCTTGACATCACTAGCTCTGCGAGCAGCCTCAAGCTGAAGCTCAAAAGATCCAGGCTTGGGGATCTTACTTCCATCAGTTCGGCTAGTAATAGATTCAGAATCATCTTCACTTTGAGCATTCCTTAATTGTATAAAGAATGTTCCATTGGGCCAGAGAACCTGAAGGAACCATGGTGGAATGAATTTTCATTCCTCATTAAATCATTGGTTTTTATACGTCGCATAAATTTTTCATTGATAAAATGAAAAATTAAAATGATTGTTGCAACAGCTATTTTTCCTCACAGAATCACTCTGATCAAGGGACGGAGATGTATGTCCAATCATTTCAAAATAATAACAATAAAAAGACGTATACTCAATTATAGGATTAGGAATTAGAAGAAAAAAATAAGATGTGACAAATTTTCTGTGTATGAAAATGATGACAATCAATCCAATGCAAAATACTCCCATTTAATCATTCGGTGTAAGAACACTAATGAATTTTCGGAGTAAGAAAATGATGACAATATTTTCTTTTCATGGCCTCCTAAAAATGCGCCACCAAAATTTCTTTCACTGTTGGTAACTTAGCTTAGGTTTGTTTGCAATAATTATTAGTAATTCTTTAGTGTAAAAAGTAAAAAATCCGTAGTACCAGTGTAAATAATGTGACCCATTTCTTGACAAACCTCTGGAAGAAGCTAAAGCAATTTTTTCACAGAATAGACATCAGGAGTCAGGACTCTTGTACTCCTCTTGCCAGGGGTGAGGGAATTCAACCTTTCACTGAATTTGAATACTACACAGTTTATTAAAATCCTTACTAGTTCTGATACTTACATCTTGGACCCATCGAATACCCTGAGCAATGATGTCCTCCCTCCGTAGCCAGTGTATTTGCCTGACAATCCAATCATCAATGGCATCTTCCATAATTAACTGTAATATTTGTTTTGATATCCAAAGGACCTGCCTCCTGCACAAAAATAAAATGAAATATCAATAGAACAATAAAAGTAGAAGCTGTCGGTTATGAAATCTAGGTTCTTGAGCCTCGCATGAAATTTCATACATGCAAAAAGCCATGTAGGTTGTAACAGCATAGAGTTCGAAAATAGAGAAATAAAAATACAAATGCTAGATATACAATTTTTGTAGCGGATATAAATATAAAGCGGCCACCAAAAACTATGCAGAAAATATAGTGATGGGGTTGGGGAAGAAAGCAACGTAGGGACAGAAAAGGAGATATAAAAAACAACCTCAAACTGAGCAGAAATATATGGAACCTTATCAGCGACCATGGATAATTGAAGTAACATACTCACGGAAACAACATATCATAGTCATGGCATTGAAAAGATTCATAGAAGAAAAGGGAAAAGAATGGAACCTTAACCAGCCTCTCCTGTTAAGCTGAAATATCTTGTCAACCAGATTTAGAAGAGGTACGCTAACATTAGGTGGAGTCCACTGCAGAAATATAAATGTTGAACAACCAAAAAGTTATAAATAATCAGAGCTATATGCTTGAAACATCAGTTGCATGTCAGAATGATGAGGTAACTTCATGATTTTTTTTTTTTTCCCTAATCAGAACAATTTGTAGGTCATTTTTAAATTGTGCACTGGAGTTAATAAATTACAACAACAATACAGTTCCTTGAAAAGAATGTCTGAAGAAAGTTTTGCAGTCTACCAGATCCATCACAATGAGAAAATGTACTGGTATGTTGTTCAGTTCAGACCGTAACCGATGTAATTTCCAGTGAAAAAAACATGTGTAAAGAGGTGGACACATAAGGATTCAAGTTTATTTTCAGTATGTCAAATAGATATTGAAGGCAAGGTTCTCAAAAAATCAAGTTTGACGGCAAGGACATCAATCACATTTTTTTCTGCATCATTTGCTTAGAGAAGTTCAATTCATTTTCTGAGGGATTTCAGTTTTGCTTAATGCTTTCCTGCAGGTATTGCAGATATCCTCCATGAATTCTCTTGTGGTTGGAACGAATTCTCCCTTGAAATGCTTGCAAGCACTCTGCAGCGAAACAGCTGCCATTTCTTAAGCAATGGAAACTATGTTAACAGATCAACACCCAACACCTTTCAGGAAATTCTTGACAATATAATTAAGTCCCCTATTTGGATTTTATGTTGGAATTAATCATCCCTAAGTGAACATTAAGGCTGTAAGAACATCTATCCAGTGTACAGCATCTAGACTCTACTCCCCAGTCTACAGAAATTTCCTCCAACGCCACTGTTTTTCTTTATTGGCCTTATAGCCAACGAAAACAGTTTGCACGGGGTGTTTCTTTTCATTTTTTACAACTATCTTTTTCATATCCTAAAATCGATCTTAATAATCAAACCGGTGAGTCCGGGTTAATAAATACCTCCATTTAAACTCATGTACAGTCTGGATTTGCAATATTCGAGACAGATCATTAAAATAATATTCACCAGGCTAACAACTTGCTGGTCGGTTTGATTGTAAATTGGGTAAGTGGCTGAACATCTACCTTGGTTTACCTCACAGAAATCTTACCTCATCATCTTTTCGGGATTCAATTATTGAGAAAGTGAAAAAGAGGCTAAAGACTCCCATCTTTTCGGTTCCACCATCTTTTCGGTTCCATCATCTTTTCGGGTTCCACCAATTTATTGAAGGGCAGTAGGCAGACTCCCATCCAAGCTATTCTGGCTAATCTCCCTATTTATTATCCGTCACTTCTTTAAGGCTCTCCCACAAATGCGACTACAAGCTTCAAAATTCTTTTCAGAAATTTCCTAGGCAGCAAGTAGAAAAGGGCTTATCACCTCCCAAACCTTACACTCTTCCAGAGATCCACTCTTTGAAAGAATGGTACATGCTCCAACACCTTTCCCCACGGCTTGACCACCTATCCCTCAGAAAAGACACCTCTACACATTCTGAATCATGGATGATCCATCTGTGAAGAACCCTCATGGATGCAGAGATTGATGATTGGGCCCTTTTATCCACGTACTTACAGTCTTTACAAGCACTGGCTAGAGCAGACTTGTGGTTATTGGTCTTAAGAAAAAGGCAGTAATTTTTCATCGAAGTTTATGTCAAAGGCTCTCTCCACCATTGAATCAAGCACAACCTCCGGCAATATATCAGCATATACGGTCTGGCTGTTTCCACAAAAAGGTGAAATTCTTCTTATGAAAACTGAGACACTCTTGCAGTAAATTTAACACCTTTGATAAACTACAAAGAACATCTCCATGGTTATATTTTTTATCCCCTGTCCTATGTGCTACTGCAATTCAGAAACTCCTATTTGCCTTTTTGGTAGCTGCACCTTTGCTTCTAATTTCTCGAAGCTTTTGAAGGTGCCAACTGGAATTTCTTAGATTGAGTGATACTCTGTCTTATACGGGGCATCCTTTCAACAAGGATAAAAAGCTTCTTCAGATTTGTCATGTCCATGCTTTTTTTTTTTTTTTTTTTTTTTGGAGTCTTTGGTTGGAACATATTCATAGATAAGACTCGTGATATCGGTTATTTCATTGATTCTACACTAGTCTTAGCTATTACTCAGAGCAAGTTGTCTCCCCCTTTTGTAACTATGGTTTATCTTCCCTCGCTGATTAATAGAGATGTTTTTT